TGAAATCTATGTTTGTTTAAGAACTAAATGGAATTTTTACTACAAAAAAAATCACTAAAAAATTAAAAGAAAAACCAAAACCATTGTTCTTTACAAATGACTGGCCAAATCTTTACGTGCCAATTGGGCATAAATAGTGCCATGTGGTTTATCGACTGGTATAAAGACTTCATTATTCTCACCGGGCACTACACTCTGGAAAGGTTTTGTATCGAAATTGAAATAATGCTTATTGGGCATAGTCATCGAAATAACTGAGACTTCGGGCAAAGCATCGAGTACTTCTTTTTCGGTTAGATATAAAGTATGCTGGACGGAAGGTGAGGAGGTGCCAACATTTGGATCACCGGCAAATTTCTTTATGATTATATTCTTAACGGTATTCCAATCTTGACAGAATTTCACATTGTTGGTGCGTGAATATTCCCAAGAACAATCAACAATCGTACTGAAAATACGATCATATTGATCGGGCAAGGAACGGAATTCATCGTTGACAAAGTTAACAAATGACGACTGTGTGGTCTTTAAGACGCGTAGACCTCTAATGCCGCTAATAACAGTTTGTTTGGGTTCTATTGAAATAGAGAGAAATTAGTTTTATATTTAGTTTTTTAATGATAATTTTTCAAACTTACCGGTTCTTCTTAAGACTACATCACAGTAACGCACTTCTGTGGGTGTAAAGATAAAGGCATGATTGTGTTTTTGTCTATTGTTGAATGTGGAAAAGTTGGGAGCATCACCACAAGCTCCCGTAGTACCACCAACTTGATCTTGACAGATTCTTTGCCAGGGATATTCTTCAACATGAATGTGAACCTCTTCAACATGAGCGTATTTGTTGAGGAAATGTGAGGCCAAGATTAAACCAAACTTTTCGGGATTTTCAATACCAAACTTCTTGGCCAATAGATAGACTGTATTCTTCTGAGAATCGGTAGCAACGATATCGGAATTATCACCTTTAAAAAGACAATATAGGAAAAATTGTATTAAAGTCGGACCGAATATACAAAACTACATTTGAGGCTCAATTTGTTCTGAAGATTTTGAGAATTTATCAGAAAACGCAATCTATTATAAGTAGTTAGATCAGGGATAGTAAATTCCGATGCCTTTTTCAGTACTTTTTGAGATCTAAATATATTTTTGTAATCCCACGATATAGGAAGTTTTTTTTATAAAATTTTTGGTAATAAATGAAATAGTCCATACTATAGTCATAGACTAGTCATCAATCTAGTCCAAAGAAAATAAATAAACTATGGAATAGACTAGTCCCTAGACCAGACAATGCACTAGTCAATAAACTTATCGTGGTAGTATTGAATAGGGTATTCCGCAGACTGATCAATAAACTAATCCATAGAATAGTCCATAGACAAATCAATAGAGAAAGAATAATACAGATACTTAATCGACTATTCCATAGACTGACAGTAGACTAGTCAATGGAAAAGCCTACAGACTAATCAATAGAATAAATAGTCCATACACAATTCAATAAAATAACCTACTGCCTAGTCCATGGACTACTCAATAAACAATAAACAGTCCATAGACTAGACATCCTATTCCGAAGATCAGTCAATAGAATAGTTCAGACAGTAAACTAGAAAATATACTTACTAGTCAATAGAATAATACACAGACTAGTCAATATATTATTTAAAAGACTACTCCATTTGCCAGTCCATACTATTTAATAGATAGTCCATGGACTAGGCTATTCCATAGACTAGTCTATAGGATAGTCCATAGACTAGGCTATAGCTAGTTCATAGACTAGTCTATAGCTAGTTCATAGACTAGTCTATGAACTAGTTCATAGACTAGTCTATAGGCTAGTCCATAGACTAGTCTATAGGCTAGTCCATAGACTAGTCTATAGGCTAGTCCATAAACTAGTCTATAGGCAATCCATAGACTAGTCTATAGGCTAGTAGATATATTAATTTAATAGATTAGTTCATAGACTAATCAATAGACTTGAATATAGTAATTAAACAAGCCCATTGCTTTGTTCGGGAATTTTCAACTACTTTAAAGGTCTATCGAAATTTCCCATTAAAACTCCTTTAAAATTATATAAAATCAGACAAAAAATCTAAAAAGGTATTTAAAACACAAATGTTTTGCATTAAATCAAACTCACCATGGAAATAATCCTTTTTGCTGTACAATTTCAAATGTGTACCCACTTCGAATTCCTTTATCGAATGCACTGGTCCATCCCTCTTAACATGTAACACCTTGACAGAGTCTTTACCATAGCCATGATCGGATATCGTATATTGATGAGGTGCTTCGCGATCTTGTTGTGGGGTTCCTTTGCCGCTTGGACGTTGCAATGGTCTGGCAAACATTTTGTTTTTGATTTATCACAACTACTTTTTAAACACCCTGTACAAACACTCTCCTTGATGAATTCACCCAAACCGAATTTTTAGGAATCGGTGAAATTTGTTTTGTCTTTGGTACACACAGCTTGTTAAAGTAGTCACTCGATTATGACTGATTTGTTAAGATGAAATGTAATAGACTTTATAGGTTCCTGGCATTAAGATTAGTTTCTTCAAATTCACTTTAAATGTCATGGTTATCTTAAGTTATCAGTATATAATTTTTTTTCGTTCTATATAATAGAGATAATCACCTTATCTTTTTATCATTTAAATATGTAAGTCTGTATGTTAGTAGTTCTAACGAAAAAATAATATGAAAAAAATTAAGATACGACTTCTGATTAATAACATTCATATAAACATAATTACAGCTACATACATTTCTAGTCGTGTGTAATGATTACTATATATAGATCAAGTAGAAGTCTGTCTGGATATTTTTAAACAAATTTTATATTGTTTCCAACCATTAAAAGTTAAAATATTATTCACTTTTTATTCTTAGTTCAAATTTATATTTAGGATTTTATCTACTGCATCTTTATTAAATGAAATCTGTATTTCCGTATATGCATTTTTCTTGGTATCTAAATTAAACCTTAACCTGGATCGGGTACTTTTTATACCCACCATCAAAAAAGAACACATCGAAATATAACACATCGAAATATTGGTCATAGACCCATAAAAGTATATATATTCCGGGTCCTTATTAAATTCTAAGACGATCTAGCCATGTTAAGGTTTGTTTGGTATTGAAAATGGGCAATATCGGTCCACTTTTTCGGATAGCCCCCATACAAGTGGACCTCCAAAAAATAACGGGCACAACTGCTTTAGAAGAACAAGTATAGCGAAAAAATTCGACATAAATAAGTTTCATATGAGCCAAAATTTTTCCACCAATTTTTTTTAGGATCGGCCCATAAATGACCCTACCCCCCATATAAGGTCCCCTGAATTTTATTTTATCACTCATTACTGGTCCCCAAATGCAAGTATAGCGATGAAATTCGGTATAAGTATGTTTCTTACGAACCAAAATCTCTGTACCATTTTTTAAGGTCCCCTTTAGAAAATGACTTTAACACTCATTACTGGCCTAAAAATTCTAGTATAGCGATGAAATTCAGTATAAGTAAGTTTCTTACGAACCAAAACCTTTTAACCAATTTTTTTAGGATAGGCCCATAAATGACCCTACCCCCCATATAAGGTCCACTTCTGAAAATTACTTTAACACTCATTACTGGCCCCAAAATGCAAGTATAGCGATGAAATTCGAAATAAATAAGTTTCATGTGAGCCAAAAATTTGTCTACCAAATTTTTTGAGGATCGGTCCATAATTGATCCTACCCCTCATATAAGGCCCCCCTTAAGAAAATTACTGGTTTAAAATATGAGTTATGAAATACGGTTATAAAATTCGCTCCGAATTTCATGCGGAATGTGTCGGTCATTCACAAAAGGTTCCCTTCAGAAAAGAGTTTTGGTTAATAAAATACGAGTGTTCCTTATTTAAACTACTCGGTCCATAATTGACTTAAGCCATATTCCAAATATGACCCCGATGTTTATAGGGGAGCATTCCTTTTACGGCATACGGTTTGATGGTGGGTATATGATATTCGGAACAGCCGAATATAACACTCTTACTTGTTTTATCTTGAATATTGCGATATGTGACTTTCACACAAAATTTACATAGCCTGCCAGACGGACTTCCCGAAAAAAGATTACCAGATCCAAAATGGAGATTCATAGCAACATTCCACGGAGACGGTTTAAACGTCAAATTAATAACATTGTTTACAAAATATTTGCATCTAATTCCGACGAAAGCATAGCTATGGAAGAGAATTTTTTGTGAATCCGTTTGTTCGTCTTACTCTCATTCATTTTTATAGGCCCTCCTGCATTCGTTAGCTTAACCTCCTCAAGAAAGTTTAAAGTATATTCGCTCTTTCATTGCCAATTATCTCCAATTAGTTCGGGACTGTCCTGCCGAACTGCTGGATTTGTATATCATTGTAATATGTTCCAGTCCTAAGACCGACTCCATTTGATCTCTAAACACACATTCATATTTATCATCTATTTGCACTTCAAATTAAGCAAAGTCATCCCTAAACGTCATTTATTAAAAAAAATTTGCACATTTAAGGTTTAAAGTTTTATTACAATGAACTTAAAACTATTCAGATAAAGTTTTTTTTACATTTTCTTAAATTTTATGACAATAAAGTGAAATTTTTTTATAAACTTAATTTCATTGTTTAAAGGTTATAAATTTCAATTTCAACAAAATTGGGTGATACCTAGATAATTGGATAAAAAACAAATGTGTGTACAAACCGACAAGGGGTTTTACTTGAGGACATTTAAGTCTGAAAATATTTACATATTAAGACATAAGTACACCTTGTATTTAATTAATTTGTTACCAAAAAAATATATATAAATATTTGATCATTTTAATTTTCAAAAAATTTTCCACTTATTTTCTTTAAAAATTTAACATTTTCAGACAATTTGTAAGTCTAACATAAACTGGTAATTTTCCACAAATTTATGTAGCAATATGTTAACTGTTGACTTTTGCTATTACAATTGTTTATATGTACTTACATAGATTACATCCGTATGTAAATGACATGCAATCATAATAATATTGTTGTTTTCTTATATTTCCAATTCAAATACCATTTTCTTCCAAAATACTCTATTCTGTCGTTATGTTTACTCCCACCTGCAGGTGTAGGTGTAATTAATGTCAGATGGAAGTGTAATAAAAATTTTAGAATTAAAACTATTTACTTGAGATTTAGTTAATGTTTTATACGAAAATTTTGTTAAGAAATGTCAACAACAGATTTGGTAAATATTATTATTATTATTAAAATTCGTTTAGACTTTCGTTAGTATATGTATACTAGATAAAATTTGGTTGCATTAATTTAAAGATACATTATGTACAGTGGATACACGAAAGAATTTCTCCAGTCGAAGAATATACCATTTGTATTTCGAATAATGTTTTAAGAAATTTCATTAATAGATGGATAGATAGATAGATAGATAGATAGATAGATAGATAGATAGATAGATAGATAGATAGATAGATAGATAGATAGATAGATAGATGATAGATAGATAGATAGATAGATAGATAGATAGATAGATAGATAGATAGATAGATAGATAGATAGATAGATAGATAGATAGATAGATAGATAGATAGATAGATAGATAGATAGATAGATAGATAGATAGATAGATAGATAGATAGATAGATAGATAGATAGATAGATAGATAGATAGATAGATAGATAGATAGATAGATAGATAGATAGATAGATAGATAGATAGATAGATAGATAGATAGATAGATAGATAGATAGATAGATAGATAGATAGATAGATAGATAGATAGATAGATAGATAGATAGATAGATAGATAGATAGATAGATAGATAGATAGATAGATAGATAGATAGATAGATAGATAGATAGATAGATAGATAGATAGATAGATAGATAGATAGATAGATAGATAGATAGATAGATAGATAGATAGATAGATAGATAGATAGATAGATAGATAGATAGATAGATAGATAGATAGATAGATAGATAGATAGATAGATAGATAGATAGATAGATAGATAGATAGATAGATAGATAGATAGATAGATAGATAGATAGATAGATAGATAGATAGATAGATAGATAGATAGATAGATAGATAGATAGATAGATAGATAGATAGATAGATAGATAGATAGATAGATAGATAGATAGATAGATAGATAGATAGATAGATAGATAGATAGATAGATAGATAGATAGATAGATAGATAGATAGATAGATAGATAGATAGATAGATAGATAGATAGATAGATAGATAGATAGATAGATAGATAGATAGATAGATAGATAGATAGATAGATAGATAGATAGATAGATAGATAGATAGATAGATAGATAGATAGATAGATAGATAGATAGATAGATAGATAGATAGATAGATAGATAGAGTGAGCTTTTTGTCTCTTTGATTTCTTAACTTTTTTCGTTGTACTTACTTTATTTTCTAAAAAAAAGAACTTGATAACAATTTTAGAAGCGTTATTTAACTGTCAAGTCTTTAAGGGCGTGAATAACTCACGAAATTATTATTAAGTTTGTGGTCTTAGGAATAGCACGCTTATCCGCAATTCAGTTTTTTTCTAAGTAAATGGTAATACAAGAAAACATCTGGAAACTTCGCTGGGTATTTGACTTGACCCATATTTGATTAGATAAATTTAAGGCTTAAAAAAGTATTTGCTTAATGGAATATTTAAAAGATGTTTGTTTTAGAAAGGCTTTCAAACGTTTTAAAGGTGTTGAGATATTACTTGGTGCGATTAATAATAAACCTATTTCAAGGATCATGCAAATATGTACTGATTTTGAGATTCCATTTATATATTTTCTGTAGACCTTCAAAAAAATATATATTCTGGGTCCGATTGAGACAAATTTCTAGTATATGTTGTACAAATTTGATCCCATAGAACGCCAGATGATGCTTGATAGATGGGATCTACAATAATGTATATACAAAACTTTATTTACAAATTTAATATTTACATAAAATTAACTTAAACATTTAAGTTCTTACTCAAAAACCGATTACTAAATCGATTAAACAATAGCTTTAACCAAATAACAATCTTCTAAATTACAAAGAATAATTAAAGGTATACCATCTGAACCATTCGATAAAATTAAACTATTATCTCTATTCCAAAATTCCATTAAAGGTATAGACATTTGTAAATTTGGAAAATAGCCAAAAGTTAAATGACGCCAACCCTGAATATAAGAATATTTATAAATATTATAAACATTTGAATCCTTTTGCGATAAAACCAACATATAGTAATCCTGGCGCAAAGGAAATATAACCAATTTATCGATATATGATTTTAAAGAAATAATTTGGAATATTTCATATTTTACAGAACGAGAATTAAATTCATATATAAATATACGTTGACATTTGGAACAGGTTAAGATCAACTGTTTCGTAGAGGCCATGTTGGGTAATTCGATCATTTCCATTATATCATAATCACCATCGATAATTTGTTGTAATTTAAATAGCTGACTAGCAAAGTTAAAATGATAAATTGTTAAAGCCGGATGATGTTCAATTAAGCCATTAGTGATGAGAATGTGTAAATTAGGAAATTTATAAGATTTTAATTGTTCTCCGATATTTTGTGTTAAACCTTGCCAATCGTTAATGGTATTATTTTGTATAGAAATTTTAAATATTCTCACTTCATTGCGTTTTAAAGAGGGCCAATCTAAAGCATGAAGTAAAACAAATTGATCTGAAGAGTTAATGTGATCGAAAGTATAAATGGTTTCTATATGACGTTTCATACCAAATACTTTCAGTAATTTATGACCACTTATGGTAACTTTTGATTTAACTTTACGATGTTGGAACTTACAATAGTTTTCAACTTTAACTGAAATTTTATTCGAGCTTAGGCTTAAACGATTTGTGGTTATATTTTGTAAATAAATTTGGTTTTTCTGAGGCAAAAAATTTGTAAATATTCCTTTTCACAACAGGAAAGACGTGATAATTCATAGAGTACCGATTTGTTGGCTATAAATCTCGGATTATCTTGCCATTTTACAGAAGTATTTAAATCATAATCCAAATATATAATATCTTTTGCTGATGTTGTTATATTTCCTTTAAATTCCTTTAAGAATCTAAGAAATTCTTCTTTATTTTTTCCCGGTATATCCACGTTGTCGGAAAATGATCTTTGTTGGAAATTTGAGTTTAGATTTCTTACCACTTGTAAACCTTTGGCAAATGTTGCTTGATCGATTACTAAATTTTCGAATTGATAGTTTTGTTCTTTCATCAGGGAGTTACGATATAAATCCATTAAATCTTTATCATTAATGCGCATTATATGTGCTGGACCCGCCAGTTCTAAAGATTTTTCTACGGTTTTGTGGCCCGTTATGGTTTGTAAATAGGAACTGTGTTTGAATACTAAATTATCGATTGATATGCCATTGATAGTTTGCATTAAGGCTTCTTTTTCGATAATTAAATGTTCAAAGGTTAAAACACCAAAATGTTCTAGGGCCGGACCTTTAAGGGTTAAGCGGTTATCTAGAAAGTACTCCAAACTCATATCATTAATATTTTTGATATGCAAATTATTATCTATTGACAATTCCTGAAGTTTTATACTAGGCAGCGAGGTATTAGGCTTTAACTGATATATAAAGGAAGAATTTAAACCATTAATTAAACCGTTAACCTGTAAATGACCTATGCTCAGAGGTTTTAAGAACTTCAGGGGACCCAATAAAGGCTGTTGACTGTTTTTAAACGATATAGTGAGTGATTAAAACGTAAAATATCAATGTTATTTAATAATTTGACATAGAAATAATCTTTAGCTTCTAGATTTTCCAGATATAGAGGTTTAAGGAACACCTTTTCCCCTTTTATAAACTGCCTTAAAGAGGAATTCTTAAGCAAACCATCTTGCTGTATAAAATCAATATCTATATGGGGAGGAAATTTTAAACGGGTTTGCATTTTTCTGATTAAAGGTTTAGACATCTTAACATTGCCCGTTATGGTCTGATCTTGTTTAGATTTTACAGCCGTTTTATAAAAATATTTCAATAGTTCCTGTTGGCTATTATCGCCAACCGTTAAGGGCCAGCTGGCATTATTTAAAACATATAAATTTTTCCAGGATTTAAAGGACAACTCTTTAACCTTTTCTGTTACATATAATAATTTGTCGTAATTCTCTAAATAACCCTGTAAATTTCCCCCAATATTTAATTGATCAACTATAATATCACCCTCAATTTCGGTAAGATTTTTCCTTAAATCTATAAAATCCAAAACATCAACATTATTTATACGCAAAACATCCATATTCGAAACATTCATATTATCGAAATGATAAAATCCCGTTATCAATTGAGGTTTGGATTTCATGAGAACATTTTTCAAAATTATTTCCAAATCTGAACCATTGATATCTAAAGTTTCAAATTCTTTAGTTATAGTTAAATCGTCCTGGAAACACACTTCCCCTTCTATATCGGCATTCTCATTAATGCGCACTAAATTTTCCACATAATCATTCCAATATACGCCATTAATATGTTCCAATTCCACTGCCTCTGCAAACTGCACATTACCTTCAACTATGAGATCCTTATGCAATACCAAACGTTCTTCCTTAACATTAAGTTTAGTGAAAAAGGTATCAAACGGTATACCATTAATTTTATGGAAAACTATATTGGATGTCTCCACCATATGCGGCACATACAAACGATCCATATAATAATCATGGTTGAGTAAATCTTCCAAGGGCAAATTATTCAAATAAGAAGCCTGTAATTCTTGTTCCACATAAGAAGAATTTTTCACCTTAATCTTAATAAAAGATTTCTGATCTTTAAATTCCAAAGTTTGGCCATCATTTAACCGCGTTTTGAATACAAAATCTTTAACTGATTTCTTATTAATGGACAAAGCTTGTAATTCAATAACCGTTATGGGTGCCTCAAATTGTTTTATACCAGTTATATTAACCTTATCTCCAGGATGTATAATATTTTCCTTAATTTCCGCTAGTTTAGATTTATAATCACGACATATAACATCTCCCCGCACATGGGCATTCATGAATACGACTAATAAAGGTTTTTCATTTTGCACTTTATCCACCAACATATGTTGCTCGGTTTTGTGATCATTTAAATAGCTACTTTCCAAATAGGGGGCCGTCACTTTGGCCTCATCAATATTATGGGGAAACTGAAATTCTTTAAAATTATTTATTATATTGATTTGTTAAAGTCTGATGAAATAGTTTTTGTATTATATTACCTGATTTTCTCTTTTAAGAGATATTTTTTTCTTAATTTCTTGCTCATCGTCTACCTCTTCCCCCAATAAGATTTTAGTTTTATTATGTTTTCTCTCCTCAGATATTTACTATCAAACTACCATTGATTATGACTTTATTGTTGTAAAATTGTTTGAATTCTATTTCATACGGATTGATCGCAAGTCGCTCAAACTTTTGTATTTATCTGACAATATAAGGATCTCCAGAAACACTCAAATGATACATTCTTGACAGGTGCTGCCCCCCACATGGAAGGATTAGAGACAATTTAATCTTGTCTAGTCTATAGTCTCTAGTTCTAGTCTATAGTCTAGTCTAAGTCTAGTCTATAGTCTAGTCTATAGTCTAGGTCTATAGTCTAGTCTAGTTTAGTCTAGTTAGCTATAGTCTAGTCTATAGTCTAGTCTATAGTCTAGTCTATAGTCTAGTCTATAGTCTAGTCTATAGTCTAGTCTATAGTCTAGTCTATAGTCTAGTCTATAGTCTAGTCTATAGTCTAGTCTATAGTCTAGTCTATAGTCTAGTCTATAGTCTAGTCTATAGTCTAGTCTATAGTCTAGTCTATAGTCTAGTCTATAGTCTAGTCTATAGTCTAGTCTATAGTCTAGTCTATAGTCTAGTCTATAGTCTAGTCTATAGTCTAGTCTATAGTCTAGTCTTAGTCTAGTCTATAGTCTAGTATAGTCTAGTCTATAGTCTAGTCTATAGTCTAGTCTAGTCTATAGTCTAGTCTAGTCTATAGTCTAGTCTATAGTCTAGTCTATAGTCTAGTCTATAGTCTAGTCTATAGTCTAGTCTATAGTCTAGTCTATAGTCTAGTCTATAGTCTAGTCTATAGTCTAGTCTATAGTCTAGTCTATAGTCTAGTCTATAGTCTAGTCTATAGTCTAGTCTATAGTCTAGTCTATAGTCTAGTCTATAGTCTAGTCTATAGTCTAGTCTATAGTCTAGTCTATAGTCTAGTCTATAGTCTAGTCTATAGTCTAGTCTATAGTCTAGTCTAAAGTCTAGTCTATAGTCTAGTCTATAGTCTAGTCTAAAGTCTAGTCTATAGTCTAGTCTATAGTCTAGTCTATAGTCTAGTCTAAAGTCTAGTCTATAGTCTAGTCTATAGTCTAGTCTATAGTCTAGTCTATAGTCTAGTCTATAGTCTAGTCTATAGTCTAGTCTATAGTCTAGTCTATATTCTAGTCTATAGTCTAGTCTATAGTCTAGTCTATAGTCTAGTCTATAGTCTAGTCTAAAGTCTAGTCTATAGTCTAGTCTATAGTCTAGTCTATAGTCTAGTCTAAAGTCTAGTCTATAGTCTAGTCTATAGTCTAGTCTAAAGTCTAGTCTATAGTCTAGTCTATAGTCTAGTCTATAGTCTAGTCTATAGTCTAGTCTATAGTCTAGTCTATAGTCTAGTCTATAGTCTAGTCTATAGTCTAGTCTATAGTCTAGTCTAGTCTAGTCTATAGTCTGGTCTATAGTCTAGTCTATAGTCTAGTCTATAGTCTAGTCTATAGTCTAGTCTATAGTCTAGTCTATAGTCTAGTCTATAGTCTAGTCTATAGTCTAGTCTATAGTCTAGTCTATAGTCTAGTCTATAGTCTAGTCTATAGTCTAGTCTATAGTCTAGTCTATAGTCTAGTCTATAGTCTAGTCTATAGTCTAGTCTATAGTCTAGTCTATAGTCTAGTCTATAGTCTAGTCTATAGTCTAGTCTATAGTCTAGTCTATAGTCTAGTCTATAGTCTAGTCTATAGTCTAGTCTATAGTCTAGTCTATAGTCTAGTCTATAGTCTAGTCTATAGTCTAGTCTATAGTCTAGTCTATAGTCTAGTCTATAGTCTAGTCTATAGTCTAGTCTATAGTCTAGTCTATAGTCTAGTCTATAGTCTAGTCTATAGTCTAGTCTATAGTCTAGTCTAGTCTATAGTCTAGTCTAGTCTATAGACTAGCTATAGACTAGACTATAGACTAGACTATAGACTAGACTATAGACTAGACTATAGACTAGACTATAGACTAGACTATAGACTAGACTATAGACTAGACTATAGACTAGACTAGACTATAGACTAGACTAGACTATAGACTAGACTATAGACTAGACTAGACTATAGACTAGACTATAGACTAGACTATAGACTAGACTAGACTATAGACTAGACTATAGACTAGACTATAGACTAGACTATAGACTAGACTAGTCTATAGTCTAGTCTATAGTCTAGTCTATAGTCTAGTCTATAGTCTAGAATATAGTCTAGTCTATAGTCTAGTCTAGTCTATAGTCTAGTCTATAGTCTAGTCTATAGTCTAGTCTATAGTCTAGTCTATAGTCTAGTCTAGTCTATAGTCTAGTCTATAGTCTAGTCTAGTCTAGTCTAGTCTAGTCTATAGTCTAGTCTAGTCTATAGTCTAGTCTATAGTCTAGTCTATAGTCTAGTCTATAGTCTAGTCTATAGTCTAGTCTATAGTCTAGTCTATAGTCTAGTCTATAGTCTAGTCTATAGTCTAGTCTATAGTCTAGTCTATAGCTAGTCTATAGTCTAGTCTATAGTCTAGTCTATAGTCTAGTCTATAGTCTAGTCTATAGTCTAGTCTATAGTCTAGTCTATAGTCTAGTCTATAGTCTAGTCTATAGTCTAGTCTATAGTCTAGTCTATAGTCTAGTCTATAGTCTAGTCTATAGTCTAGTCTATAGTTAGTCTATAGTCTAGTCTATAGTCTAGTCTATAGTCTAGTCTATAGTCTAGTCTATAGTCTAGTCTATAGTCTAGTCTATAGTCTAGTCTATAGTCTAGTCTATAGTCTAGTCTATAGTCTAGTCTATAGTCTAGTCTATAGTCTAGTCTATAGTCTAGTCTATAGTCTAGTCTATAGTCTAGTCTATAGTCTATAGTCTAGTCTATAGTCTAGTCTATAGTCTAGTCTATAGTCTAGTCTATAGTCTAGTCTATAGTCTAGTCTATAGTCTAGTCTATAGTCTAGTCTATAGTCTAGTCTATAGTCTAGTCTATAGTCTAGTCTATAGTCTAGTCTATAGTCTAGTCTATAGTCTAGTCTATAGTCTAGTCTATAGTCTAGTCTATAGTCTAGTCTATAGTCTAGTCTATAGTCTAGTCTATAGTCTAGTCTATAGTCTAGTCTATAGTCTAGTCTATAGTCTAGTCTATAGTCTAGTCTATAGTCTAGTCTATAGTCTAGTCTATAGTCTAGTCTATAGTCTAGTCTATAGTCTAGTCTATAGTCTATTCTATAGTCTAGTCTATAGTCTAGTCTATAGTCTAGTCTATAGTCTAGTCTATAGTCTAGTCTATAGTCTAGTCTATAGTCTAGTCTATAGTCTAGTCTATAGTCTAGTCTATAGTCTAGTCTATAGTCTAGTCTATAGTCTAGTCTATAGTCTAGTCTATAGTCTAGTCTATAGTCTAGTCTATAGTCTAGTCTATAGTCTAGTCTATAGTCTATTCTATAGTCTAGTCTATAGTCTAGTCTATAGTCTAGTCTATAGTCTATTCTATAGTCTAGTCTATAGTCTAGTCTATAGTCTAGTCTATAGTCTAGTCTATAGTCTAGTCTATAGTCTAGTCTATAGTCTAGTCTATAGTCTAGTCTATAGTCTAGTCTATAGTCTAGTCTATAGTCTAGTCTATAGTCTAGTCTATAGTCTAGTCTATAGTCTAGTCTATAGTCTAGTCTATAGTCTAGTCTATAGTCTAGTCTATAGTCTAGTCTATAGTCTAGTCTATAGTCTAGTCTATAGTCTAGTCTATAGTCTAGTCTATAGTCTAGTCTATAGTCTAGTCTATAGTCTAGTCTATAGTCTAGTCTATAGTCTAGTCTATAGTCTAGTCTATAGTCTAGTCTATAGTCTAGTCTATAGTCTAGTCTATAGTCTAGTCTATGGTCTAGTCTATAGTCTAGTCTATAGTCTAGTCTATAGTCTAGTCTATAGTCTAGTCTATAGTCTAGTCTATAGTCTAGTCTATAGTCTAGTCTATAGTCTAGTCTATAGTCTAGTCTATAGTCTAGTCTATAGTCTAGTATTTAGTGTAGTCTATAGTCTAGTCTATAGTCTAGTGTATAGTCTAGTCTATAGTCTAGTTAGTCTATAGTCTAGTCTATAGTCTAGTCTATAGTATAGTCTATAGTCTAGTCTATAGTCTAGTCTATAGTCTAGTTTATAGTCTAGTCTATAGTCTAGTCTATAGTCTAGTATATAGTCTAGTCTATAGTCTAGTCTATAGTCTAGTCTATAGTCTAGTCTATAGTCTATTCTATAGTCTAGTCAAAAATCTAGCCTATAGTCTAGTTTATACTCTAGTCTATTCTATACTCTAGTTTAATATCTAGTATATAATCTAGTTTATAGTCTAGTCTATAGCCTAGTCCATAGTAGGCTTAAAATTAGTTTGGTACTTTAAAATCTAAAAAGTACAGTCATAGCCGATTATATGATAACAGCTATAGGCGCTCAATTATGGATTATTTAATTAACGACATCCTGATTTTTGAAGGAGTGTTAAGAAGTTGGCTGATTTAAAATTTGACCCATGCTTATAAAATATTTTAAAAATATAAATAATATAATTTCTCTTCCTACTTACTCTGAATAAACGTATCATTGCCACTGAAAACAATGTCATCTTCGAAAACCAACCCGTTCACCGTTTTCGCCTTCAAATCGTGAACAAAGAAACGTGATATCACCAGATCAGAATGAATAACTTGAGGATGTTTCAAATTGAAAAGATTCGAAACAGTTAAACCATTTAAAACGGTCACTTTTAAATGGTCAATATTTACTTGTGACTGCAACACTAAACGTCCTTGAATCAATTTATCTCGATTCTTCAAAAATAAAGAATTATAAAATTTATTCCAAGGAACACCATTAATGAAGTCCACTTTTAAATGTTTAACACGAATAATAGGAGTTAAATCGAAAAATAAATCGGGTATGGAATGTTGACGTGTATCGCGCGCATTTTGTGGCAGCAACAGTTCGGAGGTATTTAAATTGTAAGTTTTTACCTTCGGTTTAATATTAAGGAATTGTTGCTGGGCGTTGGAACGATTTAAAGAAAACCCTGTTAAAATAGAATTCAGTTAATCGGGATTAAAATGAAGTGAATTTCTTATTGAGAATACCTTCTATAACATCTCCTGAATATATCAAATTTTTAACTTTCATTCTATGAACTTTAACACGATTTGAAATTTCTAAAGTTATATTGAAGGGTCCCTGATTATCGGAACGTTTCGAGCGTTGTGGCAGATAAGTTTGCCTGAGGCTTGCAATTTTTTGCAACACCTGCTGAGGACTTCTTAAATATTCACCCACGACTTTGATTATACCCACATTACCAGCATGTAATATTATACGTTCTGTTACTTCAAGATCTTTCAATTTTGGTCTTACAATATGCGAAACTTTACGTAAAACATCCATATCCATTTTACGTTGCAAAAGTATACTACGTAGTTCACCAACTGTAGATTCAAATAGATGTTGGTGGCGAGTTGAAGCTAAAGTTTCTGTAATTGTTAAATTTTGGATACAAATTTTAGCTGAATATGTTCTATAATAAGATTTTGATACCTTCCGGTTCAGATTGATTTCCTGTAGCCAAATCTCTGACATTTATCTCCATCTCCACTATACGCATTAACATTTTAAAAGGTCTTTTATAAATGAGCAACACATAATCCTCTTTATCCGCATTTTGATGACCCAACAGGTTAGTAACTTCCATTTGATCAGATATAAAACTTCCATAACAGTCTAAACGATGATTGGTAAATATCATTACTTGATTTTGTCGCGTAGCACTCACAAATCTCGATGATGAAGACAACAGATCAAAAGCAAATTCTTTGGGAGTACGATGTCGATAAACGCTAAAATGACCATCGGGCATTTGACGAAAAGAACTACATTTCTGTTGTTTACTCGAACAAGCCACGATCATGTTACGATGGCGGTATGTGAAAATGTGGACTACTCGAGATTGTACTGTCAGAGTTTGTTTGACTTGAAGATGCAGTGTAGAGGGAGTTATTTCGTAAACTGTTAATATGGTCTAAAGGTAGAAAAAACAACAAAAAAAAATAGATTTTTAAGTAACATTCTTTTCTATTTTCTTACCCTGCTTTGATGTTTGATAGCCCGTCCTGTGACCAAGTACTTTGTTGATGCTCCAATAACATTTACCACATGTATAGCTGGAACAGTTATTTCTTCAATAGGATCAAAGTAAGTATTAAACCATTCAAATGTTCTGAAAATAAAATTATGAAAATAGTAAATGAGGTATGAGTCCGGTAGGTTAGTTTTTCAGACCAGTGGACGTATGTTCGATTCTTACCAAAGGAGATGGAGGACTACGTGTATCTTTTCGATTTTATGTGACATACCTTCTTCTTTTCTTCTTTTTTTTTGTAGCTAACTAACTAACTAACTAACTAACTAACTAACTAAACTAACTAAACTAACTAACTAACTAACTACTAACTAACTAACTAACTACAACTAACTAACTAACTAACTAAACTAACTAACTTAACTAACTACTAACTAACTAACTCTAACTAACTACCTAACTAACTACCTAACTACTACTAACTAACTAACTACTAACTAACTCACAACTAATAACTAATCTAACTAACTAACTAACTACTAAACTAACTAACGAACTAATAACTACTAACTAACTAACTAACTAATAACTACTAACTAACTAACTAACTAACTAACTAACTAACTAACTAACTAACTAATAACTAACTACCTAACTAACTAACTAACTAACTAACTAACTAACACTACTACTACTAACTAAGCTAACAACTAACTAACTACTACGAACGAACTAACTAACTACTAAACTAACTACTAACTAACTACGAAACTAACTAACTAACGAACTAAACTAACTAACTAACTAACTAACTACTCTAACTAACACGTAACTAACTAACTAACTAACTAACTAATAACTAACTAACTACTAACTAACTACTAACTAACTAACTAACTAACTACTAACTAACTACTAACTAACTACTACTAACTAACTAACTAACTAACTAACTAACTAACTAACTAACTAACACTAACTAACTAACTAACTAACTAACTAAACTAACTAACTAACTAACTAACTAACTAACTAACTAACTAACTAACTAACTAACTAACTAACTAACTAACTAACTAACTAACTAACTAACTAACTAACTAACGAACTACTAACTAACTAACTAACTAACTAACTAACTAACTAACTAACTACTAACTACTAACTAACTAACTAACTAACTAACTAACTAACTAACTAACTAACTAACTAACTAACTAACTAACTAACTAACTAACTACTAACTAACTAACTAACTAACTAACTAACTAACTAACTAACTAACTAACTAACTACTACTAACTAACTAACTAACTAACTAACTAACTAACTAACTAACTACTACTAACTAACTAACTAACTACAACTAACTAACTAACTAACTAACTAACTAACTAACTAACTAACTAACTACTAACTACTAACTAACTAACTAACTAACTAACTACTAACTAACTAACTAACGACTAACTAACTAACTAACTACCTAACTAACTAACTAACTAACTAACTAACTACTAACTAACTAACTACTAACTCACTACTAACTAACTAACTAACTAACTACTAACTAACTACTAACTAACTAACTAACTAACTAACTAACTAACTAACTAACTAACGACTACTAACTAACTAACTAACTAACTAACTAACTACTAACTAACTAACTAACTAACGAACTACTAACTAAACTAACTAACTAACTAACTAACTAACTAACTAACTAACTAACTAACTAACTAACTAACTAACTAACTAACTAAACTAACTAACTAACTAACTAACTAACTAACTAACTAACTAACTAACTAACTAACTACTAACTAACGAACTAACTAACTAACGAACTAACTAACTAACTAACTAACTAACTAACTAACTAACTAACTAACTAACTACTAACTAACTAACTAACTAACTAACTAACTACTAACTAACTAACTAACTAACTAACTAACTAACTAACTAACTAACTAACTAACTAACTAACTAACTAACTACTAACTAACTAACTAACTAACTACTAACTAACTAACTAACTAACTAACTAACTAACTAACTAACTAACTAACTAACTAACTAACTAACTAACTAACTAACTAACTAACTAACTAACTAACTAACTAACTAACTAACTAACTAACCTAACTAACTAACTAACCTAACTAACTAACTAACTAACTAACTAACTAACTAACTAACTAACTAACTAACTAACTAACTAACTAACTAACTAACTAACTAACTAACTAACTAACTAACTAACTAACTAACTAACTAACTAACTAACTAACTAACTAACTAACTAACTAACTAACTAACTAACTAACTAACTACTAACTAACTAACTAACTAACTAACTACTAACTAACTAACTAACTACTAACTAACTAACTAACTAACTAACTAACTAACTAACTACTAACTAACTAACTAACATACTAACTACTAACTACTAACTACAACTAACTAACTACTAACTAACTAACATAACTAACTAACTAACTAACTAACTAACTAACTAACTAACTAACTAACTAACTAACTAACTAACTAACTAACGACTAACTAACTAACTAACTACTAACTAACTAACTAACTAACTAACTAACTAACTAACTAACTAACTAACTAACTAACTAACTAACTAACTAACTAACTACTACTACTAACTAACTACTAACTAACTAACTAATACTAACTACTAACTAACTAACTAACTAACTAACTAACTAACTAACTAACTAACTAACTAACTACTAACTAACTAACTAACTACCTAACTACTAACTAACTAACTAACTAACTAACTACTAATAACTAACTAACTACTAACTAACTAACTAACTAACTAACTAACTAACTAACTAACTAACTACTAACTAACTAACTAACTAACAACTAACTAACTAACTAACTAACTAACTACTAACTAACTACTACTAACTACTAACTACTAACTAACTACTAACTAACTAACTAACTAACTAACTAACGAACTAACTAACTAACTACTAACTAACTAACTAACTAACTACTAACTAACTAACTAACTAACTAACTAACTAACTAACTAAACTAACTAACTAACTAACTAACTAACTAACTAACTAACTAACTAACTAACTAACTAACTACTACTAACTAACTAACTAACTAACTAACTAACTAACTAACTAACTAACTAACTACTAACTAACTAACTAACTAACTAACTAACTACTAACTACTACTAACTAACTAACTAACTAACTACTAACTAACTAACTAACTAACTAACTAACTAACTAACTAACTAACTAACTAACTAACTAACTAACTAACTAACTAACTAACGAACTAACTAACTAACTAACTAACTAACTAACTAACTAACTAACTAACTACTAACTACTAACTAACTAACTAACTAACTAACTACTAACTAACTACTAACTAACTAACTAACTAACTAACTAACTAACTAACTAACTAACTAACTAACTAACTAGCTAACTAACTAAACTACTAACTAACTAACTAACTAACTAACTAACTAACAAACTAACTAACTAACTAACTAACTAACTAACTAACTAACTAACTACTACTAGCTAACTAACTACTAACTAACTAACTAACTAACTAACTAACTAACTACTACTAACTACTAACTAACTAACTAACTACTAACTAACTAACTAACTAACTAACAAACTAACTAACTAACTAACTAGACTAACTAACTAACTAACTAACTAACTAACTAGCTAGCTAGCTAGCTAACTAACTAACTCAGTATAAAATAAAGTCGCTTCAGTGCGACCGATCATCCATTTTAAACAAAATAATTCCCCATAAATCGATTCTATACAATATAACATATACTAACCTATATTTCCCATACAACTTGGTAAAATTAACGGCTGCCACAATCATGATTCTCTCCTCGGCAGGAGAAAACAAAATAATTTTTGAAATCTACCAGTTAATGTCAATTGTTGTATGGCTTCAAATATCGGAGCCGGTTCATGCATTCTAGCAGGATCTTTTGCAATTTCTGCACGCTGTAAAAGAACCTCCTCGGCCAATTGATAGACCTCTAAATGCTCATCCAAAGCTATGACCAATATAAGATTACCATGCCAATAGATAATCTAAAACAAATAATTACTTTAAATTAAAAATCACTTTAAATCGAAATGAAATACCTTGGCTCCTAAAGGTTCCACATGACGTACACTGCCTTCTAAAACACCCAACAAACTTAAACGTTTCTCTTGACGTCCAATAAACATTTGATAAAGTTCGTGGCCATGCAATATATAAATTTGTTGTTTTTGCTCCTCTTGCATAACGTAAATATTACGATCATATTGTACATCCATGTCCATGAAAGGTAAAATAAATTGAATATTATCGTTAGGTCTTTTCTCGGCTGTATTATTTGCGGGTGAAACATTAAGTGGTAATGGTGGCATTAGATGTTGTTGTTGTGGCAAAGGACATAATGGTACCAAGGGTGCTGTTGCCGGGTTAAAGGGATTGAATACTTGTACAAATTCCGTGAGACACTAATATATTGTTTAAATAAATTAATAATTTTATTGAAAAATTTTGTTTAAAATTAAATTACACTTACTATTTTTACAATTAGTGTTAATAAAAATATTTTCAAAATAATCATTTTACGCTAACTATTTTAAATTAAAGGTATTATTAAAATCATGTGGATTTCTTAATTATTTTTCCCCTTTTCTTTGGCACTTTCAATTGATAAAGTTATAATTGAGAAAGATATAAGTAGTAAGTAGAAGTCACGAATTAACGGGGTTTTATTTTAATATTGTTGCGGCGAATTTAAACTCTAATATTTCAATCAGTGGTGGAGGAATGATTTTTTAAGGGGAACGAATGGTTCAAAGTTTACAACGAATGAATTATATTTGGAACTATTACAACTATATATATTTACATATATACATATGGAGCGATGTTATTCTAAATTTAACGTTTATCCCCCTTATTCACAAACAACATTTTATTTTATAAAAGGTTTATAAAACAAAATTTCCATACAAAATCTAATTTATAAACTGTTTATAAAATAAAAATTTTGTTTGTGAATAAGGGGGTAAGCATATTTCTTATCACAGATCGTTATAGAACGGTTTTTTCACGTTTTTTGGAAAGTCCTTGGACCGTATTCTAAGAAAAGAAAAGAAAACAATTTTTAACATTTTATATGAAAATCATTCAGTTTTTGGAGTATTTTTTATAAAAAAATCTACATTCTGAATAAGGACCTTAAAATTTCTAAATAAATCGATATTTTTCCCATACCTATGCATTAATAACAAAATTATAGTTTCAAAAATATATCGACATTTTATTAAAATATTTGGCATAATAACTTAAATTAAAAAAATAACAAAATTTATTTTCTAAAATTTATAATTATTAAATATAATTTAAAATCTTAATATTTGGATGAAGTAGCTAAATTTTTAATAAAATTTAAATAAAAATAATCTTATAAATATTAAAAAAAGTGTAAAATCATGAACCGTTTAAATTTTACCCAAATGGTTAATAAAAATATTCTAGGACATCAAGAAAATAAGTTTTTCCATATTACTCAAGTCAATACCGAGGATTTCTATGAACAGGAAAGATATACTGCTAAAATAAAAGAAGCACAGGAACGTCATAATTTAGCTGGAAAAATAAATGATATTGTATACCATGTACATGAAAAATTAAGAGGTAAAATAAAATTTCAAAGTTTCCAAAAAGATGTCCATTTATATTAAGATTTAATTTTCAAATTTAATTTTTTAATTCAATATCTATCTTTTATAGAACGTCAGTCTTCACCGCATAAATTAAAAGCGAAAGCGATCACAAAAAAATCTAATGAAAAGATCACTCAAGAAAAACAACTAGCTCCACTAAAACCCAACGAAAATCAAATAATTCCCTCGGAAAATATTGAATTGAAAAATTTTGAATATCAGTCATCACCACACAAATTGAAAGCAAAAGCGATCAAAAAGAAATCCCATGAGAAGATCACTCAAGAAAAACAACTGACACCTTTAAAACCTACCGAAGATCAAATTAATTCCTGGGAAAGTTTTGAATTACGAAATTTAAGTATACCTCGCTTAAAAGTTTTACGTAGCAATAAAGAAAAGAAATGGGTACATAAATCTACAACCGTAAATTTTAATAATTTTGAAAATCATAAGAGAATTGTTGATGCGTTAAAACGACAAAGCGAATTACAAAATATGTTGGAAGAACAGCAACTGATCAAACAAGATGGTCAATCTATAGCACAGGATATATTCGCATTACGACATTGCTTGGACGATATACAGCATCGTGTGAATAACTCCTTGAAACATTTGGAAAATAAAAAGACTTATTGTGAATGTCATGGCCTGACGGGAACTAAAAATTGTAAGAAATGTTTAGAAAAAGTAAAAATTCCGAGTAAATAAATAATGTTTGGGATATGTAAACTCAAAATTTGATTTTTTGTGTCTTAAACGGTTTCGTGTTCAAGAAAAGTTTGAAAATCCCACTTTCATTGTTTTTTTGTTACGAATATGTATGTTGGTAAAAATCCTCTATCGAATAATCGAATTTTTGTTAAAAAACCAAAATCGTTTTTTGCAGTTAAATAATTTTTAAATTATATGGAAAAACTCTATTGTATGATATTTTCAAAAGTAATTTTACGAACCCTGCTAAAAAATCGCTAGAATTACCACAAAAATCCAAATTATTCCATCGCGCTCAATTGATTCGGCTTAAAGCCGACTAAGCCTAGCCGCCAAACAGAATGTCAAAGCCGCCGTCGTCTGCTTAAGACGACGCCATATTTTATAAAAATTTACAGAACACTTTTGCTAAATTTACAGAATTTTGCAATATAATATGAATTTATTTTAATTTAAAAATGTTTTCTTTTATATAATAATCAGCCGCTCATTGATTTTTGAACGGCGTTAAACTTTGTTAAACGTTCAATGTATATGTTTCGCCTCATATATATATTCAAATTAACGCGCTTTCCAACCGTGGGCTGCTAACGAGTAGGGTTCTATAAATCGACTTTCGAATAATCGAACAATCGACTTTTTGTCGAAAAAAGTCGAAAAGTCGAAGTCGACTATTTTGTTCCAAAAAAGTCGATAACTCGACTATCGTCTGTGAAAAAAGTCGAAAAAATCGACTTTGTGAATAAAAGTCGAAAAAAGTCGAAAAGTCGTAAAAAGTCGAAAAAAGTCGAAAAGTCGGAAAAAGTCGAAAAGTCGTAAAAAGTCGAAAAAAGTCGCAAAGTCGAAAAATCGAAAATTGTAGAAACAAGTCAAAAATAGTCAAAAATTTTAAAAAAGTGGAAAAAAAAAACTCAAAAACTCTAAAATAGTCGGAAAAACTCGAAAAAAGTCAAAAAATAGTCTGAAAAAAGTAGAAAGAAGTCGAAAATAGTCAAAAAATCGAAAAGTCGAAAAAAGTCGGAAAAAGTCGACTATTTATAAAATAGTTATAGTCGAAAAGTCTAAAAGTCGACTTTTATTCAAATGAAAGAAGTCGAAAAATCGACTTTTCATAAAATGCAAAAAGTCGAAAAGTCGACTTTTAACTAAATGAAAAAAGTCGAAAAGTCGACTTTTCGTTTCAACTATAGAACCCTACTAACGAGTGTTCGAATTTCATTGCTATACATGCGTTTGTATCTTGTCTTGTTTCGCTTCGACTCAATCGTATTTTGAACCCACTTTCCCAGATTATCTTAGAATTTAATAAGGACGAAAAATATATGTGGTCAATTTCGTGTCAAGTGACCCAACTTCTAACTATTGACTAATAGGCCAGGCACAAATTTTCAGCTCTATCGGTAAAGAACTGCCGGAGTTGGAAGGGGTCAAAGTTAAACATTTTGGTCGCATTAGATCAGGGATGTATTTTTATGTAAACACATACAAAAAAATTAAACAGCTGTTTCCATCTTACTTTGTTATTATTTTATACCAATCGTCTAAACACAAAAATATAAATTACACTACTTTTCTCTTTTTTTGTCATACGGATGGAATTTCATTAGACTTGTCGTACGTAAAGTATGATCGTCTGAAGGGCCCTTAATCTGAATATGTATTAAAGTTATAGTTGAAAATCACGTTTCCATCACTCTTTACATATTGCCCTTCAGAAACTTTGTTCTACGCAATGATAGATATATCCATCAGTAGTGCTAGTCAAATGACTGTCACTGTTCTTGTAGCGATTTTGAAAACAATTGTTATCAAAATCGCTAAATGCTTCGATAAAATAGCAAAATTAACAACACTGTCGCTTGTAGCGTCATTAAAATAATTGCTTGCTTTGTGAAAAAAATTTAAAATTTTATAAAAATTTAGAAACTAAAGAAAAATACACATAAATTTAATATTTCATAATTGATAATACATAATGGGTTCTTCGAAGAAACATAAAAAGCACAAATTGGAAAGAAGGGAAAAATATGAAGGTGAGTAAAAGCCGCAAATGACACTGACTTGCCAAGATATTTGCTAATTTTATGTTGTTGTTTGTGTTTCTTCATAACTATTAATACAGAATACAGCCACAATACCGATCCCTCTAATTTGCAAAGAGGTTTAAAGTTGATACTTAAAGTAGGACCCAATAGCACACCCGAATATTCAGGCGATGGTTGTTCCCTAACATCTACGGTAGCCGGACCTCCTACGGCTGCGGAGGCTATGTGCAGCAGCCCCTTAATGCTGGAAGATATGGAGGAATACCGTGAAAAACACAAGAAATCCAAGAAAAAGAAGAAGAAAAAAGATCGTGAGAAGAAACACAAACATCACAAGGAAAAGAAACGTGACAAGGGTGAACGTCATATTAGTGAAAGTCCTAGACGAGAGGCGTCATCGGTAGAACATATTGAAGATTTAACTTTGATAGCCAGTCAGGATTCACAGTCTTTGCCGGGTTGTTCCTCATTTCAAATACAACGTAGTCCTAAGATAGCGGCGGCAGGGCCGCCTTCAAATATTGCTTTGACGGCTGACGGTGACAGTAGTCAAGATGGTTTTAGTTTTATGGATGATGACAATTCGCAACCTTTGCCGGAAAATATTCTCTTCTATGCAAATATGACTACAGACAATTCGCCTTCATGCAGGCCAGTCTCTAAACCAATTGTACCCATTAAGACGGATGATACCATGGTGGCCTCACCCTCGCCGTCATCAATACAAAGTATATCGATGGGACCGGCATCTAGTGGTAGTATTGCCGGTGCTGGTGGAGAGGTGGGTAGTGTACATGTTGCAGGAAGTCCAGCCACTAGTATAGGAGGTATTAGTCCTACGAAACCTTTGGCGGAGGTAAATATTAAAATGTTATCCCATATAAAAATAACTAAAATTAATTTTTTATGTATTTCCTAGTTAATGATACCATCACCCTCGCCGTCTACTCCTGCTTCTACACCAGGCGGTGCGGGCGGTTCTTTGTCAGCTTTAACACCTAAACAATTGGAAGCACCCAAAACTCCTAGTTCATCGAGTGAATCGGGACGTGAACCTCGCACCTGTGTATTGAAGTTGAAACAACAAAAATCTCCACTAAATAAACTGCTAGAACATCTATTACGTATTTTGGAAAAACGTGATCCTCATCAGTTCTTTGCTTGGCCTGTAACCGATGATATTGCCCCTGGGTATTCCAAAATCATCAGTAGACCCATGGATTTCTCTACGATAAGACAAAAAATCGATGATAATGATTATAGTACCTTGACAGAATTCACCGACGACTTTCGTTTGATGTGTGACAATGCAATACGTTACAATCATGTGGACACCGTATATCATAAGGCAGCTAAGCGCTTACTTCAGGTGGGTATGAAACACTTGGCACCTGATAGTTTGATGAGAAGTCTTAAGCCTTTATCGGGTTATATGCGAGAACTTACGGCCAAGGAGCTGGGATTCGAATTAGTACAAAATCATGGAGATTTTCCAGCTTATGATCATCATGCCATGGCGGATTCGGCTGATGAGGGAGCATCAACCGGCACTGAGGAACCTATGACTCAGGCCCAGCTTGAAGAGGAGAGAAAACGTAAAGCCATACGTTTAGAAAATCAACCCAAGACACGCTTTGCTCCCTATGTGGATGATTTGACTTCAGAAGAGATTTTGGCTCAAGTGCAAGGCGCTGCTCAAGCTGCCAAAAAACGTTTGTCGGCCAAGGAAAAGGCCCATAAAATGGGTTTCCTAAGACAAAATAAAGATGGTTCTACGTCGTTGAATTTACTCACCAAAGATGAAAATGAGGGACCCGAAAAGGTCGTGTCACTGGGTGATTTGGTGGGTAAACTTAAGAAAGGCTCTGGTCAAGTGCAGGGATACCGCGAAGACAAACGTAATGAGGCCAAATTGGTGAAACCCCTAAACTATGGCCCCTTTGCCTCTTTCGCTCCCACATTCGATTCACGTTTCTCTACCCTCAATAAGGATGAGACCCAATTGGTATTGGAAACTTATGGTGATGCTACCAGTACTGAGTATGCCGAAAGTATTTTGCAATTCACTAAAGATTCCTCCTATGCTACCATGTTAGCCAATGGTCTACTAGATATCTTAACAAATGGTGAACATTCCAAGGGCATGCAAGAACTGTGCGATTTACAATTACAAAACTACGAACAACAAGAGGCCCTCAAATGTTTCAACAATAGCGGTCCAGTTGTAGACAGTTCGGCCAGTGTGGAAACTCGTGCTGAAATCGAAAGGGAATATGAAAAGTATAAAAATACTCGCATAGATTTCAATCGTCTGCGCACCTTAGATGATTTAGGCATAAAAGTGGACTTTTTGGATGATATAGAAAAAGAAATGAAGAATTTCGAATTGACACGAAGACTGCAGGAACATTTGAGTAATAATTTGAACTTGATTGATAAACTAAGGAATACA